AATAATCATTTTCCTGGATGTTTACATAAGAAAATTAACAATGATTATCTCCCGGCAGTGGAACTTCTTATGTGGCAAAGATATTGTGCAATCAAACTGAATCTATGATTTAAAATAAATAAATAAATTCCTGACTTGTAGCATTTGCTGATCTCCATGGTGAAAACACTCCCACCTGTCTGATTTCAAGCTACCGATGACTTAAACAGGCTCGCAATAATTCCTGAATAGTGATCCATTCTGGTGAGCCAGTCTGGGTCAGCTCCAACACCCCACTGGGTGAAAATGCAAACTCTTTATTTTATAACTTTTCATGCTAGTTGAATTTATTTAAATGACATTTTTAAATAAACATTTTCCTTAAAGATAGAAGAAGAAAACTGCTGAACACCATTGCTAAGTTTTCCATTTCCAGTCTTGGTTACACGTAGCCTTGAAAATAAGCCCAGGCCCACAGTCCCTGGCCGCAAATGAAGTCAGTCAGTGGAGAGCAAGATGAAGGAAATATAACCTTTCTATTCTCTTCCTTTCTGGGCTTTCATAAGAACCCGTGTTTGTGAGCAAAAAAAGAAAAAAGATAGACTCCTATGGGTACCTCCTTGTGTCTTTAGTTTATTAAGATGGAAGACACTAGAAGGTGCGACCATAAACAGAAAGAGCAATGAAGAGCACTGAGAAATGCGGATGGGGCATTACAATTTATTTGTGCATTTTTGTGGCCCTCATCATTGCTTAAAACTAACTGAGAGCCATTTTCTCTTAGAGTGGCTACTACTGCCAGATAATAAATCAGGTAATTCTTAAATCTGCCCTAACTCTCCTATAGTTATTCATCAAAAAATTGTCTGCTTCTTGATTGCAAAAAGACTCAGTAAAAAAAAGCTTTTAGTTAGAAATCAAGAAACCTGCATCATCATCCAAACACAGATACTATTGTGCTGCAAAATTTTGCACAAATCACTTAACCTTTCTGGGCCTCAGTGTCCTCAACTATCAAATAAGAACTTTGAACCATAAGGTTTCTGAGACCCTCTTCGGTTTTAAAAATCCTACAATTCTATTATTTATGGTGACCTTTCTTAAAGAAGCTCATTCCTCTCAAGAACTCTCTTAGATCCTCTGAAGTGTTCTTGGGTCGGATAGAAAGAGAGAGGAAAGAGCCAGCCCCTCAGTGTGGATGGCAGTGAATGGCAACAGAATCTGAGACAGAAGTGGGAGGAGCACTCTCCAGGAGGCACCGGAAGGACCCCGCCCTCTGAGAGCATGAGGACCCCAGGACCGCAGCTGGGGCTTGAGGAACAAACACCACATGCACATCCATCAGCACCCACCAGTCCAGGACATTAGGACTAAAGGCCCCACCACCATCCACAGTGTTAATCCATTCTGGGATAAAAAATTTCTCAAGTTTTTATCTCCATTATCTGCCTCCAAAGAATGGTTCTCAATAAAGTCCACACCAAAGAAATCCTGTTCCTGCTCTAAGATCAGCTTTGCCTCCATTTCCTCAAAATGTTCTTTCTTTCGCATCTCCCTCACGAAGGGGTTTTCATTCATATAGAACCCAACAATATCTGAGCTTTGCTCTGAGCCACATAGATATAAAATAGGAACACGGTATCCTTGTGACTCTTGTCAGGGATACACACTCACACACACACACACACACACACACACAGAGATGGTACACCTAAAAGGGATGATATTATTACTGTGGTCCCTGGTGACAGAGGAGAACTAACATTAGCTTACGGCAAGATCAGAGAAGACTCAGACACTGGGCAAGGCCAACAGAAGCTTCATTAACTGTAGTTTAGAGCCTCATAAGTATTAGTTGACTCTTTACAAAGCCTAAAAGCCATTCCCCTGAGGTTTGTGGGAGAAACAAAACAGTAAAGGAAAGTAATTTTCTCTAAAAGCAGAGCCCTCACTCTGTCACTAGGATTGTTAGGGAGCATAAATCTCTACCAATAATCACACAGATTTTCCTGTCACTTTTGAGAGCACAAAATGCCTTTCAGCACGTTGCCTAATCTGATTTTCACAACAAGCTGTGAGTTATTCGTGTCATAGGAATGGATCAGCAGACCTGAGTGCAGGCCTGGACTCTGCCACTTATCAGCTTGTGGCTTAAGTGGGTTACTGTCCTCGGTGTGTTTTTGCCTTCATTTTACAGATGAGGAAACTGAAGTTCAAACGGGCTAAGCGACTTGTCCCTACCAACAAGTGATAACATAGGACAGATTAGAAAGAACAAAGACCTGAAGCAACAGTGTCTTTATTATGGGAAGTGTCATTAACATAAAAATAATATCCAAAGGCGAAGATGGGCAGGGTGAGCAGAAAGGAGGACTCTTGAAGTTAAGAAGATAGGAAACTCATCCATGAAAAATTAACGAGGGTTATTTTTTTAGAGAAATGACTGTGTGAATACCAGTCCCAGTAGAAGCTATAAAGAGCAAAATGAGGGGGGTGACTATCACACACGTGATGCCCCCTGAATCCCAAATCTGAGGGACAACCTTGAGGCTGCCAAAGAGTCATAGGCCACCATCTGCCTGTCACAGCAACACATAGTCTGTGTGAAGTCAGTGTGCCTGGTTGTGTGATCTCTACTGAGCTCAGTGCAGAGCGGATGTGAAATTGTTGAGATGGAGAAGGGTGTGTGCTGGTGGTGCGAGCTTAGTAGGACAGTGAAAAACATACAGAGTCAGGTGTGAGATTAACAAGGTAGTGCGTGGTATAGAATCTGTGTGGGCTCAGTGAGATGGTGAGGGATGTGCACAGTTGGTGTGAGTTCAGAGAGCTATAGTTAGTGTCCCCTTGGCCTATACTGATGAAACTTCACTAAATCCTATACCCATTTCCCAGCTTTTTGAGAACATCAGTCCATAAGAGCTACTCAGCAAGATCAGGGAAAGCAGGAAAATACCCTGCAGTCCAATATGGAGGCCATGCCTACCCCTTGATCTATATAAGCAGTTTGTAATCTGGGTCTGCCTTCATTGGGACAGATGTTACATTTACAGGTACGGGTGGCCCCTCTTGTCAGTTCCAAACAGGCTCCACTTTACTATTATCCTTCTATAGCCAAGTTTCCTCAGGTTAGCAGGCTTCATACATCACAGCAGGCAGGTTTACACACCTCAACCCAAAGCCAGAACTGCTAACAAATTACCTTGACATGTTGATTGCTTGCCTTATCTCACCCTGGAGGCCTCCAGAGGCCTCCTTCACATCGCCAGAAACACTTCCAATTACTGCATTGGTTTATCAGGGACTGTTTTCTTGGTGTTCCTATTCTGCTCTCTATGACCTTGGTTGTCTGAGTGATAGATCCTTCAAGTTCTTGTTGCGTCCGTCTTAGATTTGCCCCTGCTTATCTCTCTCTCTGTTCCTATAGGATGTGTTTTATTGCCACACGGACTTAGCTTGTGGCCTCCATTGCATCATCCAGCACTAACTGTCACTTGAGCAACTCTAGAACACCCACATGTGGCCTCTGTGAGAGCAATTTCCAGAAACAGAATGTCAAACCTGATACTTCATCAGACTTTTTCAGTTACACAATAGGAGGAAATCTTTACTCAAGATTTCAAAGGACAAAGAGAATTTCAACATAAACCGGGAATAGTGCTTGGTTGTTGATCCAGTCAATGCCAGGTTGATGATGGGAAAGAACAACCAAGATGTCATGGGATTGCCAAGCACTGTCCCAAATCCTTCCTGAGCTCAGCATTCCCAACCCCACCAAATCCTGCAGCTTAAAAAGCAGCTATAAGTGCAGTATAAAGTGTGACATTGTGGAAATCAACTACTAGTTTAAGAGCCACACCTGAAAGTGCTTGACTTTCATTAGAAATGTGGTTGACAACATGCCTTTAAAGTCATCATGAACTCTAAGAGATGACATTGACTCATCGACTTATCTGTCACAATCATCTATAATTTTAGAAACAAGCACAGTATGAATTCTTAAGAACAATAGTCTGAAAGAACTGATATTTGAGAGCCCATCCCATCTTAATTTGCAGATGTTTCAATATACTCCCAGAAAATGGTGAGAAATAAATCTTGGGCTCATTTGCCCAAGAAACTACCCATGGTTACACACTCTCAACAAACCTGTGAGATAAAGGGTCAGAGCTTTGCTAGGATCAGATATTGAGTTTTGTTTTCCCAATCAAGGATCTTGATATGGGTTAGTTGTGTTGGATGGGAAATTCTTCCTTTAATAATATCTTCTTGAGATCAGTTGGGATTTCATACATACATACATACATCATTTCATACCTACAAATCTAGGCTCTGTGGGGAAATTGACTTGTTCACTTTTAGAATGAGGAAGAAGCAGTAGAAATTATCACCCATAAAGCCTCTATCAAATATCCTCTTATCACAGGAACATGTCTAGTCTTCTTTGGAGAGGTGGACTGACCCCAATTTCAGGACACCACAGGAACACATAAATTTGGAACACTGTGTTATAACTTATAAATGCATAGCTAACTCAACAACTGGAAAGAATAACAATAACTGCCCCTTGATTACAAAATATTTCTTCTGTTGAAACATCCTTTGAACTCTTATTACAGGTAAAAGCAATGCCATGATCAAAAAGACCATGAGAATTGTGCCAGATGCTAGATGACAATGTGAGATTGTCAACTCCTTCCACAGTCCTCTCATTTACCTGGTTGCTCAATGAGATGAATCTCCCTATTGGGTCAGGACTGGTGCTGATGGGGCATCCCAGAGCCAGGATGGGAATCCAGGCAGAAAAATAAAACAAATCTAAGAATTACAGGCAGAGGCTGGGAATGGGAAAGCCAATAGGACTCAGAAGCCAAATGATGAGGCACATATCAGGAGTCAAGATTAAGTATATAGGTTAAAAACAAAGCCAGAGATTAGGAACCAGAAAATTCACAGGCACCAGAGGTATTGTCACGATGGCCTTGACACTGAGGTACCTGCTATTTCAGGAGGAAGGCTCTTACCTCAGTTCTGTGGGAGCAATCCAGGATGTGATCCTTCTGGGTAGCGCAGGTGGAAAAAACAGAGGATCCATGTAAACAGGGATGGAGTCAAATGACAGAGGTATAGTGTTTGGAATCATACTGAAAGACACATCATGGCCCCCCATGCAGAGCCTGACAAAGGTCAGAACTTTTAAGCCAGTAATTGGCCACCTATGTCGTATCAGGATTTGGCCAAGAAATAGTCATTAAGGGTCAGGGAAAAGAACGGAAATTGAGAAATTTCACTTTGACACTTTCCCAACTTCCTGTCAGTTCCATTTTCCCAGCTCCTGGCACCCTTCCCTGTGGGTTCTCAAGTCCCGAGCGATTCCATGCTGCCCACCTGTGGTCCAAATCCTCCCTCAGAGCCAGGGCCCTCAGACCTCACCATTCCTCAGTTTCCAAATTACAAAACTATGCTGTTTTTTTTAAATTTGGAAGGCATATCACAGATGCTAAGGGGACAGCAGGTATATCAAGTAACTCTAACTGACGTATAAATGATGACTATGCTTCGTGTCCTAAAGGTATTAGAACCTGAAGGGAAGAACTAATTAACACAAAACAACCTCTAGAGCTCTACCCCAGGCACTCCAGATGAATAGGGGTTAAAAAAAACAAAACCTGTGTCTCTTCTAAAAAAATTACTTAAGCATACGACTTGAAGTACAGTTTTTAAAAAAATTGTTGGTTTTCCTTCACAATAAAGAAATAGTTATTAATCAAGATTCTAAGGACTATTTCAAAAGCGATAACTGATTCATCTCCCTTATCTCCTTTTTTAGTCAGATATAGTTCTAGGAATAAACACAGACAGTTTGAATTTTAATGATTTCTCAAAAATGATACTTGCACATGTAAAAAATTCAGACGTTGCTGTTTTCTAGGACAAGAGATAAATTATTACAGAGGCCGCATCGCACAGTGGAAAGAGCATGAGCTCAGTATTGTCTTGCCAAGCCCCTCCCCACTGCCGGTCTCAGTCCCCACACAGAGATAATAGTATATACAAATTTTCAGAGTTCTTGTGAAGATTAAAAATAATTCACGTGAAATATCTAGGATAGAACCTGGCACATCACAGGTGTTCGATGAATGGTAGCAAGTGTTAATTTTAGCTCACTTATCTAAGGAATACCCAATCATCTTTCACTGTAAACACATTTCTGCCTAGACAAAAGGAGAGAGAGTGTAGCAGGAAGAGCATTCAGGTGTAGCAGTAGAAATTCCTGCATACGGTCCAGGACACTGGGCAATAATGCCAGCTTTGTCATCAGTTAGCAGTGTAAATCTTTGCAAGACATTTAACCCTGGGCCTCCGATTCCTCATCTGAAAAATGAGGGATTTGAACTACATAATAACTTTGATCATTTTCAGATGTGGGGGTCTGTGCCACTAACTGACTATTTTCCCAGGCAGAGAGAAGGCTGGCAAAAGGTTGTCTCTGTCTGGGGCCAGCATATCCCTAGATGATCAGATCTTTACCCAACAGACCTCTGTGTTCACCCTTCCACCTACAGTTTCCAACCCGGCCTCCCCTCTTTGGACCTTGCTCAAGAGCACAAATGGACTTGGACTCCTAAGACCAGATGTAAACCTCTCCACTGATGCACATTTGCCCTGAGATTTAGGATAATTTGCTTAAATTTTCTGGTCCTCAGTTTTCTCCTCTGCAGAAGTAGCAAAGTTAATACTCACCTCCTTTAGTTTTTATGAGGATTAGATGAGATAATGTATACAAAAATGACTTACAGGCTGTACAGCCTTGTGCACAGTTAATATAGCAGCTTTGACTATTGGTGGTTTAACACCATTGGGAGCACTCTATGGAAAGCACCCCAAGAACTTGGATTCTAAGTCAGGACAACTGTGGGTCATCTACCTGGGCTCTTTGACCTTTGTGTGCCCAGAAGAATCCAGCAGAATAGCATTGAATTTTGCTGTTACAAGATATTGATTTTGGTTTTCGTAGCCAAGAAAGGAGGTTTGTTTAGACTTTCCCTTACGGACAAGGGGCAGGATCTTGTTTTAATGATCTGGAAAAGTTTCCATCCCATTAGCAATTTCCTATCCACGTGACCTTGGGTTTTCTTATTTCAAGAGGCAATTGCAGAATTTCAGGAGAGCTGCCTATTACCAATTGTAAGAAATCAATCAAGCTCTGGAAAGAACTGCCGATCGGTCCCTACAGAGCCCTACCCTTAAGCTTTGCTGGGCTTACTGTCCACGGAACACCAGGTAGCATGAGGCTGCAAGAAATGTAAGGCAGTCTAAGAAGCAGCTGAGCACACCACTGGGTTCCTCAGAAGTATTCTGAAATGCCCCCTGTTTGCAGGGCTGCACAACACTTTAGAATCTCTTCCAGCATTTTCTCTTCCATACTAAAGTCTAAGGTACAAAAGGTTTTAAGTACCTGAGAATATAGTCCCAAGCGTTGGGTTTTCTGAGCAGTCAGCTATGTGGAAGCTTTAAACAGCATTTGTCTCTCTCCCTGAGTCCATCACATCCACATGTGCAGGTCACATGCCCCTGGACAGAGCTGGGCCCCAAAACAGAAGATTAAACAAGTACTCCCATAGCATAATTTGAGATGTTTCACAATCTCCACTGCCCAAAATATCTTTCCCACCAAACACTACAGTGCCTAGAATTCCCAGCATTAAACTCCCTGCTACTAATCTGCTTCACCCTTCACCCCATCCTCTCTCCCAATGTCTAGAGATACGAATCATATCCATCGTTCCAGGCCTAGCTCAGTATCTGTCTTTCATGAAGCCTTCCATGATCCTCCACTTGGAAGTGATCTCTCATTCCTCTGAACATTTACAATGTTTAATTTGTATCTCTTTTATAATATATATTATTTTATGTTTAAACACGTGTACAATCCCCCATCAGGGGTAATCTTGAGAGTCAATCCCTCAGTGAGGTTTTATTTATCTTTGTATCATCATCCCATCCCCAGAGCTGGTCCTTAGTAAAGAACCAATATCTGACCAATGGGTGCCATATGCGTGAAAGGATGGTAAGAGACAGCCTCCCCTGGGCTGAGATTTTACTACTCACTAGCTCTGTATCCCTCAGCAGTTGCTTCACTTTTCAAGGCTTTATTTTCTTCCTATAAAATAAGGCCATTTGAGAGTTATAAAATGCCAGAGCTTTCCCAACCATCATTACTAATTCACTGGATGATCTTATAGCTCACAATGGTTCAGCAAAGGCCCAACATTACTCGCATTCATTTTTTGAAGTGGTTTGACAATGTATGTACTGCAATGAGATTTTTAAAAAGAAAAAATTATAAAGGGTATAGTAAGATAAGACCAAATGAAAAGTAAACTCACAGAAATAAATTCTCTGCAGTCCTATTTAGTTACAAAGGTGGAGCATGAATTCAGCTTTGAGCTTCCCAGCAACCAAAGCAAAAAGGTATTAAAATAAAAGTATATTGGTTGCTCAAGAAAGTGAAGCTCTTCCTGATATTAAGATCCAAAAGTAATTGATGAAGTAGACTTTGTCCTTAAAACAACCAAATAATGACTACACCAGGGAGCTTAATAGAAATGTTTTCTGCTGCATCCTTTCATACAAGAGTGTTCCAGATATCTATTGCTGTGAAACAACCCCTAAATAGTGGCTTAAAACAATAGCAATCATTTATTATTATCTCACTGGGGATTCACTGGGCTCAGCTAAGCAGTTCTCACTCAGGGTTCCTTACAAAGCTGCAGTCAGACTGTGGCTGGGTCTGGAATCATCTGGAACCTAAGCTGGGGGCTAGAACAGCTGGTTCTCTTCAGATGTCTGTAGGTGGTCTCTCCACGTGACTTTTCAGCATGGTAGCCCTAGAGCAGCCAGAATCCTTACATGGAAGCTCAGGCTGAGAAGAAGAGAGCCAGGCAGGCTGTATCACCTTTCATGAGCTAGCCTCGAAAGTCACACAGCATCACTTCTTCCACATTCTATTTGCCAGAAGCAAGTCACTAAGGCCAGCTCACATTCAAGGGAAGGGTAATTAGTCTCCATATTTTGATGGAGGAGTGTCCAAGCATATGAGAACATGTTTTAAAACCACCATAAATTTCAAGATAGAAATTTGCAATTCAATAAATGCTATTCTTTTGAAGCCAAAGAAGGGATAGTCTGACTTGATCCAGGGATAAAATCCAGGATGTCTAGAGTTGTGTTGCCCTATGTGGTAGCCACTGGCATAAGTGGCTATTTAAATTCAAATTAATTATGGGGCCAACCGCGTGGCCAAGTGGTTAAGTTCGCGCACTCCACTTTGGTGGCCCAGGGTTTCGCCGGTTTGGATCCTGGGTGCAGGTATGGCACCACTCATCAGGTCATGCTGAGGCGGCGTCCCACATAGCACAACCAGACGCACTCACAACTAGAATATACAACTGTGTCCTGGGGGGCTTTGGGAAGAAAAGAAAAAAAGAAGATTGGCAACAGTTGTTAGCTCAGGTGCCAATCGCTTAAAAAAAAAAAAATTAATTAAAATTAAATTAAAACTTTTTAATGCCATTTTCAGTCTTAATAGCCACATTTCAAATGGTCAATAGCCACACCTAGCTAATCGCTATCATATCATGCAGCACAATTATAGAATATTTCCATCATTGCAGAAAGTTCTATTGGACAGTGTTGATCTAGAATAATGAAAAAACTGTTTATCCTTTGGCTGTTGATCAGAGAATTGCTCGCCTTCTAATTAAGCTCTTGGTAGGCATTGGGCAGCAGAAATGTCCAAATTTTAACATTTGACAAGAGTGTGAACTACATGAAATTTTTATTGCTAATGAAGGAGAGCCCCATACACCTTAAAAATCTATAGGGCAGGAGACAGTCTTACTTCCTTTAAGGAAAATGACAGCTCCTAACCAAAACCCAAATAGGTGCCACCCCGCCTCCACATGGGGGTTTTCAGTGGAGGACCTCCCAGCAAGACCAAAGTTTTCCTCAAGATGATTTCCAGAAACTCTCTCTTAAAAACAATTGGTGGATGCCAGGCCGGTGGTGCAGCAGTTAGGTGCGCACGTTCCACTTTGGCGGCCCGGGGTTCACCAGTTCAGATCCCGGGTGAGGACATGGCACCACTTGGCAAGCCATGCTGTGGTAGGCATCC